ATACGTCAGTCATATTACCCTAATTATGTCACTTTTGTCATCCTGAGGCTCTCTAAATGAATGCTTAGATCAAAAGGAATGACAAAATCGTAGCCAGTGACTTCAAATACAGCAAATGAGACTGATCATGTGTAAACGTCAACCAAAGGCCATTCGAGGTCACATGAGGTCAACATAAAACTTGACCTTTTCAAACAACCTATATGTCATTCGACGTGTCTTGACATGACCAATGCGTTGGTACCACTGCTTTAGGTCTAGGACCTTTTTTGGTGAAGAAATCTGCAAAAAAGCCGCAGCTCGGGGTCGCTAACCTAACCTTTGACCTAATGTCGCTAACCCTTTGACCTAATGTAGGTTGGTATCAATTCTTTTTTTTTGTCCCATACCTATTGAATTGTCCACCATGTGAAACATAGTGGAACAGGTATGCAGGAGTGCCCTTTCATGCCCATGTGACCTGGCTACGTTAAATACCATAGAACTTCATTCAACGAGGGGAATTCAAGCACATTAGGTCACATCACTCCCCGCTCTTTTTTTAGCTATGGACAGCCCGCCACCACAGGTATTAGTAAAAAGGTTACCCCTGGGGACCCAGCAGACAGATAGCATGGCTAGTGACGTCCGCTGAGTAACCAGGGCTGACAATGGTTAGGTAGGATAAGGACAAAAAGAGACGAAATATGAAAAAGCAAACAATGCATGTAAAATGTGTTTCTATTTTTCCCCAAAACCACTAGGCATTCGGGGTCTATCGCAACTATTCGTCCGAGGTGTGTATGTGTGTGTGGGGGGGGAGGACGAAAAACACCCTCCCTGGGTCCGCGTGGGTTAACGCATCTGACGAGTATTACGGCTGACAGAATATGTCCGTACAAGTTGGGGACCCGTGGCGACGCCCCTGCGTGGTGCTGAAGTTTCTAGACGGGTGAGAAGTATCAGTGTATTTTGATATTCTTGTGAGCGTGTCAACGATAGCTGGTGGTCCTCGCTAATCAAGCTGAAAATAGTGTTTCCGGTGGTTTCAATGAAGCGCGAAGAATTCGCTGCCCGGAAATCAGGTAAGGCGATGTCTGCTTTTGGTAAACCTGCGCAGCTGTGTAACGTTTTGGAACCATAACTAGCTCAGGTATGTGCCTAGAGACAAGCTACGGCATTTATGAACAATGCATGTTTTATATTGCAATTTATATGTACCCTATTGATTTTGTTCTTAGTAAATCAGTATTGAAATGAACAAATATTGGTATATTTTGGCGCTGCACTGCCTTCTCAAGCAACTAATTTTGAAGATGGAGGACTGGAAACCCATAATTGTTTCAATGTTTGCTATCCCAGGTTAAGTGGGGCCGGGAGATGGGGGAGCCGTGTAGCCCCCCCCCCCCCCGCTACACGTTAGACGCTGACAAACGCCGCGGATTAACCCGCGCCCCACTGGGGTCTGTGTATAACACGCCCTACTGGGGGGGGCTATTCATAGCCCCCCCTCCTAACTCCGAAACTACTGGGCCGATCGTCAAAATTCAAACGGTGTCTGATAGCCCCGGAAAAACTGTCGAACGAAACCTAATTTCATTGACCTCAAGGTCACCGATGACGTCACAGGTCAGGTCAAAGTAAAAATTATTAGCACTTTGGCTTGTTCACATTTTGGGCTCTGGCCGCCGTCTTACAAGTCAGATCAGGCTCATTTTTGGTTTCCACACTCGTGAACAGATGCTCTAGATACCTTGAGGGTACCAAACTTGTACCTTGATTTTCAGGTCAGGGTCAGGTCATCACAGGTCACGAAAATATTATATCATGCGTCGGTCACGTGACACATGTTTTATGGTCCATTTAGGCCATAGATTTCGAATTTGATGTCGTCTGTGTCATTCGAGGTCATTTTGAGTCGAATTTAGCTTAGGTCAGGTCACTTTCAGGTCAAAAAAGGTCAAATTTTGAAGTTAAAATTTTTCAACAAAAAAGGTGTCTATTGGATGCAGTTTGAGCTCAGGAACACGATGGTGCCATTTATATTGGTGTACGATGTCAAATACGTACTGAAAAATTGATTTGAAAAATCAATAATTGTAAATTTTTTGCAATAATGCATATAACTTGGCCATTTTTGAAGATATTTAGCCAAAACTGGCTAGAGTTAGTCATAATCATGCGTTCTGTCACATATATTCCGGTTTTTTCGAAAAGTCAAAAACTTTTTGAAAAAATATAAAAATATAAATTTTGAATATTATTATATAAAATTTTCGTAATTTTCAAAATTTTTAAAATCCGAGATAGCAGTTTGATAGCGCGTTCAATTCTGAGTCCTTTCATGCAAAGAAATTGGATCTAGCTTAAAAACTGAGCTCTTGGGAGCGATTGCCGTGGTTCAATGTTTTGCGTCGAAATCGGCCGAACATGACGTCACTCTGACGTCATTTTCGGCCGACCTATGGTAGCTACGAAGTTCAAATTTTGACACAAGGTGTCAAATTGATGCAGCCGAAGGTACTGAAAGTTTGGCGTCGATCCGTCAAGCGGTGTGGAAGTTATTGCAGAAAAACGGGAGGGGGGGGCTAAAAATAGCCCCCCCCCAGTGGGGCGCGGGTTAAGAAAGAGAATTTACCTAATGCGTAGGTTAGTTCCCCAGCTGCTACCGATTTGGAGCGCCAGTGTGTATTTTTTATGATAATTTAGAACGTGGAGCTTCGCTGGGCGCCGCCATGTCGTGTACTTACACTGTGTGCCCTGACGCTCGAGACATTTTTTTTGACATTTTCTTATATCTACGATTTTACGGTGGACTATGCTTTCACGGGATGTCTGAGAGGGTTATTTTTAAATGAGCAAACTCACCGTCCAGTCCACGGAAACTCATCAAATTTGACTATAGGTACTATCAAATGTAAGCTTATCAATCATAACCGTTTCCTCTATTTCCGAACCTTTTTGATGAATATGCCAAAAGATACTGTAAATATGACGCAAGTTTTTTTATGATTTCAGCACAGCCATGACTACCACCTCGTATGCCCAAGTTAGGTAGCTACCTTATCACCGAAAGGAGGACATTGGACTAAAGTATCGTGATATTGACAAAGCTGGAACAATTTTCTATCGATTGAGCGGCATAAAACGTTCAAATTCCTGGATTCGTGTTTTGCGCTCACACGGCGTTTGGTCCCACTGTGCACCGGCCGCCGCACTAACAGGCATGTACTTTACTACCCTCTACTAACCTCTAGTACCCTCGGCGGCAGATTTACCAGGCTGGCTCACTGCCTTAACGTTCTCACATTTTCTGATTAAAGCCGCCATCCCATTGCCCGTTGCTGTGGCCGCCATTGATATTTATGCTCGACGTTTGTGCAATAACGCCAATGTATTGAACAGTCATGAATCATCAATAAAATCATTTGCAATTTTGATAGCTTTGCCGCTGGATTGAATGACCTATTATACGCATTCACTACAAATTGTTGGGCTACAGGCAGACTTACCTGAACTCATAAGCCAGCGACTTTTAAGTGACCATCCAACCTTAACATTGGTTTCGAGTTGAGATAGCCAAATTGGGATCCCTGGCTTGCAAGTAACGGTTTGGGCACTCACAACATCTCAATACCTTTTTGAAGGTGGGAGGAGAGACCCTACTCCGGTCGCAGCGGCCCCCACTCAGGTCCTTTAGGGCCCACGCCGTTCTCCGAAGGTTCAGACTGGCCTATACGAGTCCCATACCGGTCAGTGGCCGGAGGATGTTATGATGGCGGCTCTGAGGGATCTTAGCGGACTCGAAGGGCTCACGTCGACCTATGAAGGCCCTGCACTGACTTCTGAGGGCGCAAAGTGGACCTATTTCGGCATATGAGGGACTCTTGCTGCTTTTTGTGCCTATTGCGGGGAGGTGAGGATCCTTTTCTGTCTCTGAAAGCCCCATTTCGACATTCGAGATCCCTATGCTATGGGTCAAAAGGCCCACACAGTTCATATAGCGGCTTCTGTTGGCGACACGGGCACAAAAAGGCGATGTGAAGCCCTCAAATGATGATATTGGGCACTTCAGCCCACTCCCTACATAACCCTGAGACCTGCATCCGGCGAGTATGGAGGTCGTAAAAAGCCGACATGTTTGTTTTAGCCTCGTGAGAATTGACAAAGGACATTAGTCCAACATGGCTTAGGGGATATCATGACTATGGGGACCCACCGGCTGTTTGAGGGAGATTGGCAGAAATATATTGGCAGAAACACTGGCTCGGCGTGAGCACTCTCATGGTCGGTTTGGGCTCTCCGAGATAGGTGTGAAGGCTTTCAGACAATATCATGGACCTTCAATGGACGACATCACGCTTTCTCAGAATGAAAAATGATTGCCATACTATTTACTACAGAACCTCGCTCCGAACGGATCGAGCAGAACGGAACGAACAGAGCATTACAGAAAAAACATCGCTACTTCGTCGCTCGTTTTTTCAGTAACCCGCTTGGAAAAGATATCCTAATCTTCCACTCGGAGCCATGAAGATGCCCTATATCGTTCTAAGTAGAGGCTGATGCATAATTGAATGTAAATTGTTTTTAAATATATTAATTAATGCAAAGGAACAGAAATATATTGGCTATTGCTGTTTCATCACTTGAACTCTTGATGTTTGGCTATGAACCCTCGAGAGCATCTTAAGAGGATCTTTGCATCTTAGGAGGATGAAATGATAAATTGTTATCCTGCACCTCAGAGGAGTGCGAGATATAAATATATCTGCACTGTATACCAATTTGAAAATAAATCTCTACTAGAAAGATAATAAGAGTTTGCGCAAAAGAAATCGCATCAAGCTCGAATTCAGCTTACATATTCATAACTCATGATTCAAATTTCAAGGAACGTCAAATTAGGCGGACCGGTCAGGATTCCGTTCAACACTGTCGGGACGTGGCGTCCGCTGTGCAGGGTTGCGACTTGCGCCGGGGCGCGGTGCTGCCGGAGGCGCGGCGCCCGGCCAACTCACCTGCAGCTCCTGCAGACGGCCCAGCAGCAGCGCGTCCATCTCGCCGCCGTCGGCCTTGGTCGGCTGGGAGCCGCCCGACGCCGGCGGGCCAGCGCCGCCCTGGCCGCTCATCGCCACACCCCTGATCGCCGTCACTTTGGCGCACTGTAAGTACCTCGCTGGGTGCCTGTAGTCACTTCGCACCCGACGTGACACGTCCCACGTGGGGCGTCCCGGGTCACGTTTATCGCGCGTCGGTAGCGCGGCGGTCGCGTGGCGTCCAGTCAGACGGGTGGTGCTGGCCCCACTGCGGTGCCCGGTCAGCGGGTGGCGCTGCCGCACACAGCCCCCACTGCGGCACCCGGTCAGCGGGTGGCACTGCCGCACACAGTCCCACTGCGGCGCCCGGTCAGCGGGTGGCGCTGCCGCACAGAGCCCCCACTGCGGCGCCCGGCCGTGCTCGATTGGCAGCGGCTTGAGCGGTTTGTCCAGCGCCGACGCTCGGCGCGGGCAGCCAGGTCAGCAGCGAGTGGAACAGGCCCCTGTGGCGGCGGAGGTGGTCCCTGCTGGTCCCTGTGGCGGCGGGGATGGTCCCTGCTGGTCCCTGTGGCGGAGGGGATGGTCCCTGATGGTCCTTGTGGCGGCACGGCTGGTCCCTGCGGCGGCGGAGGTGGTCCCTGCTGGTACCTGCGGCGCAGGGCCGGGCCTCTGCGGTGGCGGCTGCCTGCTGCCCGCTGGGGGGCGGCCGCTACACCTGACGCCCACGGGCCGGCGGCCGCCTCCGACGCCGAGCTGTTCAGGCGTTCCCGACCGTCTGCCGAGGCGCGGGTCGGGCGGCGGCCCGTGGGGACCCGTCGACCAGTCGGGGCCAGAGGCCGAGTGCGAGGAGCCCGGCGGCGGCCGCGGGACGCGCCGACCGGTGCTCCGGGCTCCTGGGTAACGGCTGCACACGGCCACTAGGTTGGTGCCGGACACGAGGGGCGCAGGTCAGGTCATGGGTCGGCTGCTGGTCGGCCGGCTGAGCGAGCTGCTGCGGCGCGGTGGACCGCGGTGGCGCCGGACATGGCGGCTGCGCTCCGGCGGCCGCCGCTCGTCTCGGCGGGGCACGTTGCCGCCGCTGGCGTCCGCACCACCTTTTGAAATCGATCGGTATGGAGGCCAGCCGACGGGCGCGGGCCGCCGGGGGCAGGTGGCGCTTCTTACCGAGCGCCGGGTCACCGCCGCCACCGGCACGACCGGAGGCCCGCAGAGGTGGGCGCTGGCCGTGTGCGGGCCGTGGCCCCAGCTGGGTCCCTGATGCCAGCACGCCACCTGCCAAGGTCAGCAGGCGCGCCAGCGGGGTGACCCGGGCGGGTGTGACGGTGCCCGGGGCCAGTGGAGCCGCGCCGCCGTCCGCACACCGTGGCACCGCCGGATCAGCAGCCTCTGCTGGACACTGCCGGGTACACGGTGCGATACGTCTGCAGCTTCCAGCCTCTCCTGTCGGGGCAGAGTTCTGCTTCACCAGACTGAATGGTTGCAATGATACCACACTTCGCAAAGGACAAACACACCCCTTGAATCGCTTAAAAGCACAACTGCACCATTAATCGAAGTAAACAGATTATTCCCATCGGAAGTTGTGGATATGAGCCGTGACGCCGTCCGTCGTTGAAAGGTGCAAAGCGGGGCGCTGCCAATCAGCGCGCGGCCGGCCGCGCCGTGCCAGCCGCAGCACGCTCACAGACTCCCAGTCACGACAACGAAGCTCGTTAGCGCGCCCCGGGGCCCTGGTGAAATGGCACGAGACGCGACGCAGCACGTGCCTGACCGGTGTCGACTGGAGCACCCCCCCCCCCCCACACCGGGGGGAGGGGGCGGCAGAGCCGCGGCGCAGGCCTCCGATGGTCGGTGGACCCGTCCTGCGCTCGGCTGATGAGCTGTCAGTGTGTGAGGACTGAGCAGTGTCGTCCTACCGCCGGTGTGAGGACTGAGCAGTGTCGTCCTACCGCCGGCGTGAGGACTGAGCAGTGTCGTCCTACCGCCGGTGTGAGGACTGATGTCCTACTGCGTTGCCGTGCCAACGAGTGTAATCTTATTGAAAATCAGTGCTAGCTCAAAATTGGCCTCTTGACGGCGAATGCCGTAAGACCATGTTTTACATCAAAATATACTATTTAGACCATTGCCTACGTCACTCTGACGTCTGGTAGTAGCGACATTTGCCCTGAACCAGACATGTGCCTGGATCCGAGAGCTGGATCTATGATCTCAGTGGATCTCTCGACAAAATAGAGGGGTTGGATCTATGATCCGAGTGGATCTCTCGACAAAATTCAGGGGTTGGATCTATGATCCGAATGGATCTCTCGACAAAATTTAGGGGTCGGATCTATGATCTCTGTGGATCCAGCGGGCAAAAATTTGTGGAGGACCTATGATCTGTATGGATCTCACGACAACATGTAGCCAATGAAACCCTTATCCTACATAATTGTACACCTTACAGTGCAATACAATTGAGAATTGTCACTTGTGGACATGGTTAAGACCAGTTGTAATCATAAGCTATCATAATTAAATTTGAAATTAAATCAACATTTATACTACATTTAAAATAAACCAAGAACATGCACATTGCTACTTTTTGTGACCAATTGTAACTTTTTCATCACAGCACTGATGACAATCTTATCAACAAGCTACAGCCACTTTAATTCAATGAACAAACAGTACAGACAGATGCAGTGGCAGCGGTGCACTGCAGATTTTCATTTTGGTCCCATTCTTTCCATGCAAAGCCAGTAGGGCCAATGTTAAAATGCCAAAATCTATGGGGGGCACTGTACCCTGGTGCCACCACCCCCCCCCCCCCCTGTTCCGCCGCCTATGGACAGATGTTAGGAAATCAAACCTGGAAGCCAAATAGGTCAGTTTTGTTAAAAATAATCCAGCAATCCACTTCTGCCAGGTATGAAATCCCAATTCAGAATGTTCGTATGAGCTATTAGTATGTGCAACACAATTTCGTTTAATTGTTTATTTTGTTTATTTATTGGCATAGCGTCCACAGGCAAAGCCCCACTTACGGATGCACTTCGATTTAGTAAGAATAGCAACCAACCTTTAATACCTTCCTAATAAAATTACAAGTTCAAAAATGGCATCAACTTCTTCAGATTACCTACTTTTGGCCACTTTTGGCATTGTGCCACGTGTGGTGCCATGCTGTGCTTTCGTTATGAGAGAGGGACGCCGGTGAAAACAGGGCGCCGGAGGGCATATTAGTCACGTGACATTTAGAAGTTCTCCCCCTCCATGGGCCTAGTGATGGGCCTTCTATATGCTAAATGTCACGTGTGAATTTCACGAACCTTGATCAAATCGCCCCAGGCGCCCTGTTTTCACCGTCGTCCTGAGAGAGCCTCCCAAAAAAAGACAAACGAAATTCACAGCTCACGTTTTGGTAATATTGTTTTATTACGTCATTATCGTTTGACCAATGAAAAATCTTAATTTGACTAAAACCGTAATGATTCCAAAAGATTCCCAGTAATAGGCCCTTCAAACTAATGACGTAAGATATTGTGATTCTTTTGAAAAGTGAATAAAATAAAGATGCAAGGCGCACACCGGCTCAAGGCCATGTAATACCGTTTTAGCTTACGTTTACGTCATTAAATTCAACGCTATAAAGATGATATTCACAAACAATCGTATCGTAAAATTATGTGAGGGAGGAAAAAAATGAACATTCTTTTGAAAAAACTCCAGACTTTTGAATTTCCAGTTTGATTTTCCATTTATTTTCATTATACTCGAAGGTAGAACGGTTAGCTCATTTGTTATTTGACATGACGTCACGAGTTCTATTTAGATACTGAATAATCATTTTACGGTAAATATCCAAGGCCATTACAATTGATATTTCGCTTCCCATCGCTTCTGCCGCTTCCGCAGGCTGTTGAATATTTTTATACTTTTGTTTATATCTCAGTTTATTTTATCAAATATTTCTTTCAATAATCAATAGATTGAAATACCTTTACCTAACCAAGCCACATGTGTCAGTATCATCCTTTATTGTTTATCAATCAATTGTGTTAGCTGGAAACTGAAAAGCCTCATGGTTGTCTAATGCAAGATTGTCTTATCAATATCATTATGTAGATTCTAACATGAATTGTGATGTGGTAGGTACCTACTATGCATTTCAGACCCCATGAGACCCTAATTTTCGGCGATAATTTATCTACGATTTGTCCAATTTGCTTCACATTTTCACAATGCACATTTCAGCTCAAGCGCCAATTTTCGTCAATATGGTCTCTTAACAAAATATCAAATTTTAGGGTACTTGTCGTTGCCTCGTAATGTTAAAATCGGTTCCGTAAATCCGTCAGTGGAGTAGAGGCTATCCGTGCGTAGGTGTGACGTCACAAACACGTGACCATTAAGCTCCGCCCTCCCGGCGGACGGGGTAGTGACCTTGGCCGGTCGGCTGCGTGGAGCGGGCGGGGCAGTAGCTGCCGCACCGGGGCGGCTCGCATGGACCGTAGCTGCCGCGTGCAGTTGTCGTTGCAGCCGTAACTTCATCGAATGAGCTAAATAGCGCGCATAAGTAACGCACCAGCTGAAGCCCGTGACTAATTGTATCTATCACAAATGTACGTACACCTTGTTCAGTCACAAAAAAATATATATTTCCAAAATTTCACACAAAGATTCGGGGCTTGTGAAAAAACGCGCATAAAAGACGCTGTTGATTTCAAATGATTGCGTAAGATTATGTATCGCGTCAGACAACGTCAAAATTGCAAAACAGAATCACCATTAACAGGATGCAATTTATGTGTTTGATAGGTATATGAAATTTGATTAGGAATGTATGCCGGCGTGATCGATTTATATCATCCCTGTGCAACTAAGCATTGAACACCTTCAGGACTAGAGATGTCAATCGGATACCAACTTTTTGGTATACCGATACCAAACCGATGCCAAGTTGGTATTTGGTATTTACTATTTCGATCCTAATGTGTTTGGTATTTTGTTGGTATCATGAACCCTCACTAATGTATAAGAGGCTAAGAAATTGGTAAAAAGTTGGTATTTCACTCATGTTTCCAAGTTGGTTTGGAATCGGTATTTCCCCACGGTTTTGGTTGGTATTTGGTTTGGTATCGGTATTCCGATTTTCTGTAATTGACATCACTATTCAGGACTAACTAATCCATTTGATCATCGACTTAGGTTGAGGAGGTCGCCAGACAAGCTTTACCCCCAGAGCTTGTGTGTTGAAATGCAAACATGAAAAGTAAAAGCCTAGAGATAGTTAAATCACCATTGAGGACATACCTACTGTTACTTAAGTTTTACAAAAAAGATACGAGTTTATTGATGATCGTTCTCGTGTAGTGCCCAACGTCCGCCTGCCACATTGCTATTTCTTTTTGTGCCCGTCTTAAAGGGACCCTCCCACCTTCAAAAAAGTTAATGAATTGGCATGAAAGTGATGTCCCTTGGTTCAGAAAGAGCGAAAACCAATATCTACCAAATTTCACCGAAAAATATTCACTGGTTTTCAAGATATTAGGCTTTTACTTTTGTTTACTTTTTGGGATCTCCCCTGTTACTAGCTGTTACGTGCCGCAGATGATGATGCTGAATTTGAGCACGTGCAGCGGCATGATCAAAGAAAAATGAGTGTGAGCTGAGAAAAATGGTGACAGAAAAATATAGATTGACCTGGATCGGAACAATGAATTGATTTTCTGATAATAACAAGGCAATATATATATATATATAGGGATTATAGTTTTAATACCACTGATTTGATCTTAACGTAACCTGACGTGATGCATCCTTGATAACAAATTAAAGCCAATATTAAAGCTAAAATCAGGCAGCCGCCACTTGCAACATACTGGCGACCGTGACAGGACGACGATGGAGAAATACTTAGAACTGGCGGCTCGCCACGGACTAAACGGGGAAGAAGCTCTCAAGTTTGCATCTGAACGCATGGATAAAGATGCAGAGCGAGAGGAGCGAAGACTGGAACGTGAAAGAGAACGAGAAAAGGAAAGAGAGGAGCACGAAAGAGAAAGACAGGAGTATGAGAAACAAAGAGAAGAACGCGAAAAGGAAAGAGAGGAAAGGGAAAAGGAACGCAAACATGAACTCGAAAAGCTTCAATACCAAAGCGAGATATCCAGCGTCACTAGAGCAGCAACA